GTAGACTGATTTTTAAATAATTTTCTGTGCTAATTTTTGTAATTTGGGAATTAGTCTGGGGACTTTAGGACCCAGGGCTAATGAGGACTGCAGTGAATTCACAGCTGGGCTTTCCTCCACCATTTTTCCAGTTCCACTCATCTCCCATCCCCCCATTTTCATTGCGCTCTTTCGCAACAAAGCACGACACCCATCCCCACTCTAGACAGAGCGGCTTCTGGGTCACACACAAATGTGTCGCGTCACACCTTTCATTGTGTTTGCTTTGAAATGTATGAAAGGAGGAGACTACAATGTAGTCAAGATGGCATGTGGTGCTTGTCTGTAAGATAAAAAAAAACTTTGAAGTAAATGTGGAGAGGGGTCAGGTGTTGAAGAAGAATTTGCAGATAATGACCAGTATTGGTTCCAAAACATCTTGCCAAATACATGATAAATAGTTAAATTAAATTTGTTGTTACAATGTCTAACTGTTTTTATTACATTCGCCATCGGTTTCTATGAATGTGGCCAGAACTGGCCATCCACCAAAACCACATGCCCAGAATAGAGGTCCCAGAGGCCTTCGGGAGCTACCGAGAGGCGTATGTCTGATCCAAAAAGAAGTTGCTGTCCTTTCAATAATTCAGTAATCTGAAGTTTTCTCATGCCAGCCAGAGTTCCTCAAATGCCAAAGAATGAATGCGGTGATGAGACCAGACGTTTAGGCCTTGTGTTGGTTTGGTGGACTTGGTTCAATCCCTACATATTTATTGTGTCACAGTGCTGAACTGTTTTTGTTAGTGTGAAAACCCAGGACTTATTTTTTATTATCTTTCTAGACAAAAACACATCTTTGAGCCCAAACAATAAGCCCTATAGACAGAAAAATTGGTAGAATGGAAGTACTCCCTAACCAGTGCAATGTTTTGGCCCAACTGGGAATGCAAGGGCTTAATGTCATTGGATTCATTGAATCATTTTTTGCAAATACTACTTTTGTAAACTAATTAAAGCACAAACCCCGCCCACAAACGATTCTAAAGTCTTCATTGGTCAACTCAATCCCAACGTTGATTGTGGACACGATGCTTAAAGGGGTCATATGACATTGCTAAAAAAGAACATTATTTTGTGTGTTTGGTGTAATGAAATGTGTTTATGCGGTTTAAGGTTAAAAAACATTATTTTCCACATACTGTACATTACTGTTGCTCCTCTATGCCCCGCCTTTCTGAAACGCGCCGATTTTTACAAAGCTCATCGTTCTGAAAAGCGAAGTGTGCTCTGATTGGCCAGCTATTCAGTGCGTTGTGATTGGCCGAATACCTCAAGCGTGTGCCGGAAATGTTACGCCCCTCACCATACTGTGATGCCGTGTCCCGGCACGATGAGACAAAACCAATAAAACCCATTATAAACGAGGCATTTGTTGCATCCAGTGGGGACACAGTAAGTACTGATTATAATTACTTATACTGTCTTTTTACGCATTGCGTTGCATCACACCGCGTAAACATAAAACCATGTCTGCATTTGTGATTGGAGAAATGACAAACAAGCACTACTCTACACTGCTCAAAACTCGCGTTTGAATCATCAGTGGCAAATCCTTTAAATATGAAAACGTACTTACAGGCTGTGAGTCAGCATTCTTTGTCAGAACACCGGCATTGCAGGAAACATTCCTCGTCCTCCATAAAATGCACTGGACACATCTGAATATTTGGGTTGAACTGTTCTGGAACAGTGTTGTAAATACAACTTAACCACTGATTTCTAGTTGTGTCCTCTTTTGGAAGACCAAACAAAGTAGTTTCGCTTTCATAACGAAACACAGTATCTCCATGTCATGGCAGCGGCGGCAACAATACTACAGCGAGAATCAAAGTTACACCTTTTTTGCGTGAACATTTGGGCGGTGTTATGCAAATCTTCCCACACAGTGACATAGACATGTGGGGGCGTGTTTGAACGAGGCGTTTTAGGAGGGCATGGACGAGTCTTAACTTTAATAAAGAATATCTCTTTGGGTTTGAGACTTTAGTCTTTGCAACTTTAGGGACCTTATCTATTCACGAACAGCTTGTAACACTCCAAAGAGAAAGGAAAACTTGAAATCACATCATATGACCCCTTTAAACAAATACTAAACCCTAACCCTGACATTAACCCTAGCATTACTGTTCGGAATCATACATGATTTTTCTTAAGTCCAAATTTTTCTTGATGGTTGACTGTGATTGAGTTGACCAGTTAACTGCAGAGAAAGAGTTTGTGCTTACCTGGTTGGGGGGAAAAATCATGCAGTATGTTCAAGGCTGGTTGCCAGATTGTAATCACGCTACATATAAGTATCAGGTATGGCTACTTTTATGGCTATAACTCTTGAACAGAATGCTTGAACAAGGAATGGTTCACTTTGAGATTACCTGAAAAATTTGATGGGGGCTTAGCCACATGTTGGCACTAATATGGTGCTAAAACTGTGGGACTGTTTGTCCAATCAGTTAGAAATTTTGTATGCAATATTGTTTATAAAATATAGCCACTGTCAATAAATTCAATTGATTATCAATAGTTGACAAAATGTGGTGGGCCAGTTTGATTTATGGTTTCAGGGAGCTGGATAAAATATGTTAAAAAAATTTAATCGAACAGAGGTGCTACTATGTTACATGCACAGTCTGTAAGTAGATATACTGTATATTCCACAGTGTTTGATATTGAGACAAAGCAATTCCATCACTTGATGGGCCCCCTCATGCCAAACAAGAACTATTGGTGTTCCTCATACCATTTCAATTTTCTTTTTAAATATGGAATTCCAGTAAAAATAAGGCCCTACAGTAAATGTAAATGATTAATTCTTGCAGCTTTATTTTAATCTGGCCAGACTGGAATTTCTCCAAATTCACATGCCCAGACTAGAAAAGGCAGGCAAATAGAGGCCACCAAGAGGCCTGTGGCAACTTCAAAGAAACAGCAGTTCTCCATGACAGATGTTTGAAATTATACACAACACAACAATGTCCCACCCATTTCATTAACATAGAAGAAAGCTTTTGATGAAACATACTACTTCCTAGCTGGAATTTGCCCAGTGGCATGTGATATTTTCAATTTGATTTACTGAAACGTTGAAACTGTGCGATGAGACCTGGGCCCATATTCACAAAACATTTTATCTTGCCACTAAGAGTTCTCCTAAATTTTCAGTGAAAAGTTTTCTCTTTAAACCTATTCACAAAGCTGCTGAGACAAATATGTTACCAAGGAATAGAGAGAAGTCTTAAGCTAAGAGTAAGGGGGCGGAGTTGCTATGGATGAGTCAGCATGCTTACTAACTATGCACACAGTGATTGACTGATAGGGGAGGGGTCTCTGTCAGAGATTTATTCATAGAAATATTGTAGAGCACGATATTATTTTCAAATAAATATTAATATTCAAATAAAAGGTAAAAAAAATAAATATTAATTGCCACATTCAAATAAAGATTTTAAGATGAGTCACTAATTAAAGTACAGTCATGGCCAAAAGTATTGGCAGTGACAAATTTTGTTTTGTAGATGATTTTTCCACGTTTCTATGGTATATTGAAAAACAATGAAAAGCATATATGTTTTAAGGCTTTTATTGGCAAAAAAATAAAAGGAGTCAGTGTTTACAGTGTTGACCCTTGTTCTTCATAACCTCTGCAATTTGCTCTGGCATGCTGGATATTAGCTTCTGCGCCAAATCCTGACTGATGGTGATCCATTGTTGCCTCATTAGTTCTCTGAGTTGATCACAATTTGTGGGCTTCTGCTTGTCCACTCGCCTTTGAGGACTGACCACAGGTTCTCTATGGGATTGAGACCCGGGGAGTTGCCTGGCCACGGATCCAAAATTTCAATGTAATGATCTTCAAGCCACTTCTTTATCACTCTTGCTTTGTGACAAGGTGCTCCATCATGCTGGAAAATGCATGGATCATCACCAAATTGCTCATGGATCGTTGGAAGTTGTCACTCTTGCAGGACGTTGTAATACCATTCTTTATTCATGGCAGTGTTTTTGGGCAGAATTATGAGAGAGCCCACTCACTTGGTTGAAAAGCAACCCCACACATGGATGGTCTCAGGATGCTTCACTGTTGGCACAACACAGGACTCATGGTAGCATTCACCTATTCTTCTCCAAACAATCGATTTTCCAGATGTCCCAAACAGTCGGAAGGGAGCTTCATCAGGGAACATAACTTTACACCAATCTTCTGCTGTCCAATCCTTGTACTTCCTGCAGAATTTCAGTCTATCCTTGACGTTTTTCTTGGAGAGAAGTTGCTTCTTTGCTGCCCTTCTTGACACCAGGCCACTGTCCAAAAGTCTTTGCCTCACTGTGCGTGCAGATGCTCTCACACCAACCTGCTGCCATTCCTGAGCAAGCTCTGCACTGCTGGTGACACGATTCCATAGCTGACTCCTCAGGAGGAGACGATCTTGGCGCTTGCTGGACACTCTGGGACGTCCTGAAGACTTCTTCACTGCAGTTGAACCTCTCTACTTGAAGTTCTTGAAGATCCGGTAAATGGTTATTTCAGGTGCAATATTCTTTGTAGCAATTTCCTTGCATTCGAGGTCATTTTGATGCAAAGTGATGATGACGGCACGTGTTTCTTTGGAGGAAACCATTGCTAACAAGAACACAATGATTGGAAGCGCTTCTTCCATCCATCAGTATGCTCGTACAATCTAATTAGTATGATAGTGATTTTACCTGACTAGTACTCATTCACACTTTCACATGTGCTGCTGATATAATTAGTAAATTAATGTTAGCTGGTCGTTTTGTGTCAGGATCAAAAAACTGTGAAATTAGTTTTTTTGTGAAAAGTTAATTTTTTGGCCACTGAAGCTTTTAGCAATTATTTAAAATGCATCTGATCACACAATAATCTAGAAACAATGTGAATGAACACCACAAAAGCTTAAGCAGCAAACATTGCGAAATACAAAATTTGTCACTGCCAAAACTTTTGGCCATGACTGTATATGTTCAGCTAATTGCCAGCCTCTTACATGTATGCTTCTCGTAAACAATTAGCATATGCTAATTGCATGTAAACAGCCTTTTAATGAACAAAGTAGAATAATCATGGCTGATAGTAATACATGCAAACATAAAAGAAAACCAATCTTGATGCAAGAACAGCTGTTACTTCTTGCCCAACTGGTTAATGAAATCAAGGATATAATCAAAGGAAAATTTGGAGTTGGGATAACCTCCAAAACCAAAGGTGATACCTTTTTAAAAGCTCATTATCATCAAATGTTTACGTTCCGAGGCAGATTGCCAGCAACAGCCATTTTAGGATAGTTTGTGGCATGGGCTGTGTACCACTCCACTTTTAGACACGCACTCGCGAACTTCCCTAAGCACTTCCCCTTGGGGGAATCCCTGCTGCCATTTTGAAGTGCATTCCACTTCGTGAAGTTTATATGGACAGACCCTCGACCCCTCGATTTTGACCGAGGCTGCTTCATATGCACACTTCAGGCCACTCCACAGACCACAATGCAACACGATTGTGACGTCATCGCAGATCGCGTTTAATTTATCCCCACCTCAAACAACTCTATAATATATAAATGATTTTTTTTACATTTATAACAGCCCAAACATACCTATATACATATAGAATGCTGCACCAAACAACTCATTAGGGAAAAAATTTAAACAATAAACCAACTCCATAGCTGATTCTAAGTGATCAAGGGCTTAGGACGTTCCAGTTCAGCCCATTCCAAGCGTTCCGCCAGAAGTAGGAACTCATGCAACGTAATCAATGACGTACATCCGTAAACGAGACGGAGGGAAGTTTGCAAGTGAAGGGTATAAAAAAACGGACTGGAACGCAGCCCTGGTCTTAGTGACTTAGGAGTCCTCTTCACTACTAACATTTCACAGATTTAGTGGCTTGTTTTAGTTACAGTAAAAATTTATGAGCTACTTTTAGCCTTAAGATGTTTAGTGAATACAGGCCCAGACTTTTAAAAATGTCCATGTCTTGAAGGTAAGCTCTACATTGCTTGATTTGGTTTTGTGAAAAGAATGTTGGTGGCAGCTTATGTCTTAGGGATGTTTCTTTTTTGTAAAGATGGAAGACTGGAAAATGGTTGGGGCAAAGCACAGAAAAATCCTGTTGCTGCATTGCATAAAAACACCAGAAAAGAAACAGAAAGAGAAACATTCATCTTCTAAATTCCAACTTGGAGTTTGAGCATTACTGTAAAAGAACAATTATTTTTTTTTAAAAAGACCAACAATTCAAAAGGATTGAATAAATTTGTTTCTGACTTTTAATGGATTCTCTTTTTTTCTGGCCATTGTGTGGCAAATATTACATAATATGGTTGAATTAAGAAACAGAAGATGGTTAAAAATATTAAATATTTATAGGTACTATAAATAACATTCTCTAAAATTTTCAAAGATACAGCAGTAAAAATAAGCAACAATCTTACACTAATTATTCTCAGAGTTTGCACAGCAATACGGCAGGAAAAACCAAGCATTATTAGAGGTTTTAACGCTTAATAAATTCTGTTCGGCTCATGAAACAGTGCCTAAAACCCCTCTTAACTGTGGCAGCAACATCAATATGGCAACACACACCAATGTTCAATAAACAATTAAATATACTAGTAACAATAATCACAATAAGCAATTCATCTGCTAAATAACATCTGCCAAGTTCATTAGCCAAACAGCAAGTCATTTACGGTTGCCAAGCAACTTGGCATATTAATATATTGAATTTGTGCCGTTTGTTGGTGAGCACATTAGCGATTTCAAAAGTGCTTTTAACGTGGCTTATCCAAACAGATTTTATAGCAGGAAATACTCATTTCTGAAATGGGATTTAACGGCATTGGCCAAACAATATGCAACTATGTCTAGACCTCATCAAACCGCTAATGGAGATGTCTTTGAGCCATGATTTTTTTTCCACCAATAATGTTGCCTGTTCTTTAAAAAAAAGAAAACACTGAGACTCCAGTAATCCACACCAAACATTTCTCAAACAGATTTTAATTCACAACTCGATAACAGTAACTAAAGATACAACACTGACATTTACAGCTTTTGAGTGTCACAGATTCAACTGGATGAAAATAAAAACTGATTAACAGGAAACCAAATTCTGCTTGTATTTTGCATGTGAATGAAAGTTGTTTTTTTTTTTAAATGAAACCCATATGTTGGTTAACTCAAAACTTAAATTTATAACAATTTTTAAATGTTTGCCTTGTGGCGCCAATAAACTGCTGCATTGCCACCATCTATTTTAGTTTGAATGAGACCTTCTGAACCAAAGGCCTTAGGCATTGCTGAACGCCAACTTAATTCTCCCATATCTCGTCCTCCTTTTGCACAAAAAGCAAGCATTCATCCTGTTGTGCCTTAAAATGATTGCTCTATGCAGATGAATCATCCTCAACAAATTAATCCTGGTGAGGCAGAACAATGACCTAAAAAAAACACCTTGAGCAAGATTTAACAGACAACATGAATGAATTTTTCCTTTTCCAATTTGCTACCTTCAGATGTTGCCTTAATTAGTGATGGCTCAAAACCATCCTATTGAAGATCAGTTTGTCATTTACAGAATTTGGTTAAATGTGTAGAAGGTGACATGGATCAACCAACTTATGGATGTATGGAATGAACAATATTAACTGCAAGATTAATGATGACAACATTTTCGTATTCAAGTGTTTGAGGTACGTTCAATCAATGGACAAGCAAGTCCACTTCTTGACAGGATACTGAGAACTCAGAAAATGAAGCATTTTTTTTGCAATTCTTTGTGGTCATGGCACCAACAAATCTAAGGAAACAAAAAACCAGGGTTGGCACATTAAAAGAAACATTGGAGGAATTTTTGAGAAGTGGAGTGCAGAAAGAAACAAGTACATCAAGAAGGAAAAAGTACAAAGATTCAGTTAAATTTCACTCTTCTTAAAGTATAAGGCCATTTATTTTGCCCTGAAATTAAATTAATATGTAAAAGTGCCCCCAATTTGAACATGTTAGAGTCTAAACAAAAATATCATACGCAGTCAATGCCGGCAGACTAACATATTACAAAAAACCGTTGATGTCAAAAAATAAAACCCTGGGTGGCATTGACATCAGCAGGAGCCAAGGACTCTACAAATTCAGTCTGTTCCCATGATCCAGTGAGACAGCAATCCATGCCCACAGTATTCCAACACAAGGAACATTCTGGGAACTGCATAGTCATAAATAAGGGTTTATTCATCAGTCCAATTCTTCAGAAGTTAGATAAAAATACACAAAAGAAAGGTAGGTTGGGATGTGTCGGGAAAACAAAATACTGTGAGAGCAGAAAAAAGCATCCCATCTTTGGATTATGATGTTAGTAACTACTTGATGATAATGCAAAATTTGGAGGTAACTGCAATGCTCCCATCCAGAGATAACCTAGGGTTTGTTTCCACAAAACACAATTTTGCAAAACAAGAAAACTTAACAAAAGAGGAAACAAACAAACAAACAAAAAATCCCCAGCAAGAGTCTATACAGAGTCAACAAGGGGATGGATCTGTATCACAGGCGACAAGTTAACCTGCAAGATTTTTTGTGCCTTCCTTCTCACTTCCTCGTCTGTGACAGAATCATCTACTTTTATAACCTTCCATTCAAGACCATTGCCATTCAGTCTAGAAACATCTTGGCCATTGGTGAGTGTAGCCTGGGACCAGTTATAGCTTTGGAAACGGAGTCTTCTCACTGAACCATTGTCCAGACCACTGGTCATCACATCAGGTTTACCTGATACAGTTTCGATCTTTTTATAAATGCTACCATCTTTAAGACCAAAACCATTTTGATAGACAACTGGGGCAGAGTCTCCAATAAGGGCATCGTCTACTTTGAACGGACATGACAAAACACGTTTGTTGTCCAAGGCAACTACATTTGATGTCTGGCTGCCATTTTCCGTTGGAGAGTGTGGAATTCCGGAGAGATCCGGTGGCCGTCCCAGAGCAAAACTGGGGGCGCTTTTAGAATTTTCAAAGTGAATTTGCAACCTCGCGGTGTGGCCTCCGGTCAACCCCTTTATGTTTGTTAGCTTGAGGCACTGCTGCGCTTGAACAGAATGTTTATCTAGCATTGCCGATCCAACGTTCTGCTTAAGACTGTCCACCGAGAGATTGGTAAGCAGGATCTTGGGTTGGTTTAGGAGAATGTTCTTTGCCGCTCTACTGAGCGTCGCGTAATTCACATCCTTGGACTTGCTCAAACCTTTCCGCCCTCGCTTCTTGCAAGGTTTCTGCACTCTCTGAACCTTGCTGCCAATTTTGGAAGAGATTGGCTCCGTGGTGCAAGACGTGTATCCATATACATCTTTGCTCCTCAAAATCACAGGCTTGGCTCCCTCTTTCCTCAGGTCTTGAAGAAAGGACACCATTTGTCTCTCAGTGTCCGACAGATCCTTGGACATGGGGTTAAAGACCCTCAGGGCCTCTTCGAGGGCAGTTTGTCCAGCTGGGGCAAATCTGGCCCAGGAATGGACTACCTTCCCCATGCCCTGCTCTTCACAATTCATGGTGCACCTTCACAGCTGGTATGCATAAGGACTTCAGGTGTCTGTGAATATGAAAATGATATTAAGGTGATTATTTAAAAAAAACACATGAATTACAGTTTATTTTATCTAATATGAAAAGCAGTGTAAATTCTGCAACACTAGCACCAAATGGATAAGCAAAAATATTACTGTTTGATCAAAAAACAGGTGGTCCTATTCCAAGCACACAACAATGCTTGAGCTAGTAGTCCCAACTGGGTTATCCATAACTTGCTTGTCTGAAAAGTCTGCTGATAGTTATGACTGTATCTTCCTAGATGTAGACCTTGATTTAAACTACTCACTCTATATTATCCCAGCCAGTCTTGACTGATGCAGTTTGGCAAAACAATGTTTTTTATTGTTTGCTTTGGGTCAAAACAGTACCATGACTCAACTAATCACACAGCATTCTGGTTATACAGTTTGAACTGTCAGTTTATCAACAGTTCTTTAAAAGTGCTCTTCAACTATAATACTCCACTAAGTAATGCATGCTTCGCAAAGTAAAGTAGCTGGTAGGGCTTTCATTCCACACAAAGTTGCATGAATAACGGTCTCAAGAATATTTTGTGGTGGAGATAATGACTTCAACTGTGAAATGGGCATTTACAGGTGTTCAGGTAGTATGTAAAGTATTAGCCTCAGACTTAATTTCTTACAATAACATTACCTACAGGAACACTGACCAATTTTATTTTTTGCAAACTGTTCCGATTCCCTAAGATTTTTTAAGAATCTCTCTAACTATCCATGGGAAATGGATCAGAACTCACTGCTTTCCACTTCAAAACAGTTCTACAATTTCAACCAATTGCTTATTAGGTTCTTAGTCCTATTGTTAAGAGCAATGACTTTTGATAGACATAGCTTTCTGATTGTAGTTTCAACATTGCATCTACAAATGCTTAGTAATTGCTATAATTTAGGTTATTGAACAAACATACACCGGAAATGTCAGAAATAACAACAAGAACAAATTTGATCAAACAGATCCATTTTGATAACATTTGAAATAATTCCACATTTGCAAGGCTTGTTGAATGTTTTACTGCAAAAGATTTGGCACCATGCCTTTGATAAAATACTGAGATGCATTGATGCATCAAGAACAAAGTAAATTGTAAGGTGAACTCCACATTTAGCAATTAGGCATCAGGGGATTCATGATTTTCTTCACGGCAGTTTCTGATTTTCAAATCACCTTACCAGGAAAACTACAACAGGACACAATACATCTGTACTCAAGAAGCTACATTAAAGAAGCACAACACCACAATGCAGGTAATAGTAAACAATCAGTTTTAAGAAAATTAAATGTTACCCTAACATTTAATTTTCTTAAAACTGATTGTTTACTATTACCTGCATTGTGGTGTTGTTAGACATGAGAAAATGAGAGAAATTCGGTAAGTTTTAGATCTCAAAATTTCTCCAAAGTTTGCTCCACTTTGCTCCAAAAACAGCTTTCACTGAAACCAAGCATGCAAAATGATTAATTTTCTACTTCCACATTTTTAATAATGTAATAATGCATCAGCACAAGACTTTCTGTACAGATACTGATCAACACCTACTTTTATATAATTTCTCCTTTAAAGTGAAGGAATTTCTTTTGCAGTGCACTGTAAAAATTTTAATGGTGCAAGACAGTAAAAATGCTATGGTACAAAACTGTTAATTGGTTAATGATAAGTTCTATTACTATATACAATGAAAATTGTAATGAATCTAACAGGATTTTACTCAAAAATTGACAGATTTTAGAAGTTAAACAGAGCAAGTCATCTTATAATTTACAGTGAAAATCGTGAATTGACATTCCCATAATTCCCTGTATGGCACGTCACATTTGATGGTTTTGCATTTAAAAACAATGTTTATTTTTTTAAATGACATCTTATGGTATTGACTTAAGAGTTAGCTGCATTATTTTATGTATGTTACCATGATGGTGTTTAATATTTGTGTGGTCTTATATTTTTTTAGCATTTACTTCAGCTTTTGGAAAAGCTACTTTTGGTGAGCTGTGATTCATCATGTTGCTTTCTCATTACCACCTCTGTTTTTGTGTGGTTGTCGGTATATTATAAAGGTACAAAATCAGATTTTAGTTCTTCAGGAGGTTGGTATATTAAAGGGTTAGTTCACCCAAAAATTACAATTGGCCCATGTTTTACTCCCGATCAATGCATCCAACCAATCGAATCCAATCAGAGTTATATTAAAAATTGTCCTTGACCTTCCGAGCTTTATAATGGCAGTGGGCGGGTGTTTTTTTTTTTTTTTAACAGTTCAAAAGAAGTCAAATAAAGCACATCCATCCATAATAAAACATGCCTCACACGGCTCCGGGGGTGATAAAAGGCCTCCTGGAGCAAATCGATACATTTTTGTAAGAAAAATATCCATATTTATAACGTTCTAAACACTTTTCTCTCACTTCTACTAACTGTCGTATGCCGAAGCCTTTCCGGGCGGATGACATAGTACATGTGTAGCACATGTGGCGGTGATTAGTGATGAATGCGGAAGCACAGAGGAGAGAAAACAAAACAAAATGCCATTCATGAATCAGAATCACAAAACGAGGATTTGTAAAGAAAAATGTCAGAGGATTTCGATTTAAGCCAAGAGGAGACTGGTTTTCCTTTGGTAAAGTAAGGAAACTTTGCTTCCTTTGCTCCTGTAAACAAACTTGCGAGACTAGCATATCTCACAGGAGTGTGTGATACACATACGTCATCCGCCTGGAACGGCTTATGTGACAGCGGAAGTTAGAGAAGTGTTTATAACGTTTTAAAGGGGTCATATGATGCGATTTCAATTTTTCTTTTCTCTTTGGAGTATTACAAGCTCTTGGTGCATAAAGAAGATCTGTACAGTTGCAAAGACTAAAGTCTCAAATCCAAAGAGATATTCTTTATAAAAGTTAAAAGAGTCAGCCACACCTACCTAAAACGGCTCGTTCTAACACGCCCCCACATGTCTACGTCACTATCTAAATGTTCACGCAAAGAAAGAAGGCATAACTTTTATTCTTGCTGTGGTATTGTTGCCGCCGCCGCCGCCATGTCGTGAAGGCGCTGTGTGTTTTGTTGTGAAAGCGAAACCATTTTGTTTGGCCTTCCAAAAGAGGACAATATCGCTTCGTCATGCCTGGAGCTGATCCGTGCTGGTCGCTGAGGAAATACTTCAACTTCGCACAGTCGATCGCCGGATCAGCTTTCACCGTGGACGAAGCGGAGTCCAGCCCAGGGTCACATGTGGTTGCTGCAGGCATCACAATATGGTAAGGGACGTAACATTTCTGTCACACGCTTGAGGAATTCGGCCAATCACAACGCACTGGATAGCTGGCCAATCAGAGCACACCTTGCTTTTTCAGACCGATGAGCTCGAAAAAAAATCGACGCGTTTCAGAAAGGCGGGGCATAGAGGAGAAACAATAATGTACAGTATGTGGAAAATAATGTTTTTTGAACCTTAAACCGCATAAACATTTCATTACACCAAATACACAAAATAATGTTCTTTTTAGCAGCATCATATGACCCCTTTAAATATTTTTATAATTCTTTTTTATAAAAACGGATTTGCAACAGGAGGCCTTAACTCACTCAACTCAGCCCCCCCCCTCCATTATAAAGCTTGGAAGGAGCAAGGACAATTTTTAATAGAACTCCGATTGGGAGTATTCAACAAAAAAATT